AAACCCCTTTCGCTGGTACACCGACTGATAAAACCGACCTCGGGTATAAACACACGTGTGTACACTCGTTGACACGGATCGCGCGACTGTTCCAGAGACGAATGCAGGAACGACATTTACGAGAAGACTCAGTGGGCTGTGATGAGCAAGCTGACGAAAGGAATAGGAACGGACGTGGATACGGCGCTGAGAATGGCGAGCGAGAGCAATTTGAGAACACAGGTCGCCAGACGGGATCACGAGCAGGCGATTCGGCAACTACGGTCCAGCTTGACGATGCAGGAAAAACGAACGGACGCGTTGCACGCCGAGAACTTGGAGTTGAAGAACCTACTGGAGAATGGTGGGTTTTCTAAGTAGATACCATTTTTCCTTTGCGCAGATTAATTTAAAGTCAACATTATCGAGGTCATTAGTGGCTTATATTTTGTAGCGTAGATTTATGTCCATCAAGTATTGGAGTGTTCTGTTCAAATGATTTTAAGAAATCAAGGCAATGGTGGAATCTTCCCTGTCCATTCAAAGTTTATGCATTCACATAGAATGTGTTAGAGCTGTGATAGATGTTTGCAGAGGATCGTTCTTCTTGATTAACTGTTCATAAATTATTTTGGTGCGTCCTGTTCTTAATTGAGCTAGTACAATTCTATCTTTTTGAGAAAGGAATTTTTTGGTACAAGTCATTTGCTATGTTGTGGACCTACTTTGTTCAATTTGATGTCGTCCGTTGTTATGTTGCAAGGGTATAATTAAGAATTATACTTTCAGTTTCACAGAACTGTTTATTTAAACAAGAGAAGACTTCAATTCCAGAACTTATATAAAAATATTATAATAATATCTTGTGCTTACTGCAGTCCTAAACTATTTCTGTCTGTGAGCCCTTTCTGCTGTACTTATATATCCTTTCTTATTGATACTTTGATTCCTGATTGATGACCAATTCCTAATACCATAGTCGATTTTATTCATCCTTGATTATTTTTTTGCATATTGTAATTATTACATTATTTTTTGCATATTGTAATTCTATCGGTTCAATCCCGGACAAGGTCTCAATTTTGTAGGAATTAATAGAAAGATATTTTACCTATATGGTTTTAAATAAAGTTTATTATTAAAATAAGGATTAACAGATTAAAAGTCCTAATATAGCGATGACAAAAATATTAATGCTATCGCTAAATCTATACACTATAATATAATACTCTCATTCGCACTCTCTGCGGTCTCACTCTCATTGTCAATATGATTCCTTCATGATTGATCTCTTCGAAACTTTCGTCACTCGCATACTTACGCGCACAAATGCAACCATACCTTAATATTTAAATCCTAAACCTGGGCGGCTAAGATAAACATTTCCAGCATAGCTTTAACAATTATAAGCGACACTCAGCAGGCGACAATTGCCTCGGTCTTAAGCCACGGCGAAGGTTTCGACTCAGGTTTACTCATCCCACAGTATGTATAGTTCTTTACGTGGGATAGAGGTGACTCGCTTAATGGTAGAGCTAACTACGATAGACATTTCTTTTGGGTTGTTAGGTTGTCGTCAATCTTCAAACGATGCTCGATTCTTTCCTTTTCTGTCGAACAGTTCTGTTCCGCACTTTTAACAGGTTTCGAGTGGAAATTGCGCACGATGGTATCGGCAAGTCTGTTTTATCGATTAAATTCTAAATAGCTCTGAGACTTGGTCGTTGCAATGGGTGTCAGGTATCGCGGCTAACAGCGAAGCAAATCGATGGCCCGCGCTGATTTGCTCGGAATGTATGTACGTGATACGTATGGGAGTGATCGTGGTCGAGCAACCCGCGGGAAATTCGATCGAGAGATTTTTCTGCCGCGTCGCGCACACCGGCGTCAGGTGGACTCGGTTTGGTAATCGATCAAGAACGATTTATGTATGTCCGGTGAATAGGGACGCCAGATCTGTTTCTCGTTCGCGGACCCCGAAAGTAGGGGAACAAGTTTGAACGTACAGCCCGATGATCAATCTACATCGGTTATTTCATCGTTCTGCCATGATTTTCCACTCTTTCAACACTTTCCCCAGAAGGGATGTTTGAAATCGACAGTTAGCTGTACAAATTGATATTTATTACTTATCAGAACTAACGTTGCAGAAATTTTATTCAAATTATTGTACAATCGTTATTATTATTTTAATACTATATCATAATCGAACTCGTTAATATGATCGACTTCACAAGCGCTTAAAAAGATGTTCTCGTCAATATTAATATTGCTTTCTGCTTAGATAATATAAATCTATTCATTATAATTATAATGATTTATGTGTAGAATATTTGACACGATTGTTCTAGCGTTAATAAATATTCTCATTTATTTTTGTTGCCCAAAGTCAAAGTACATGTATGTGACACTCGCCATAAATGTGTTAAGATAAATGTTACGAATTCGAGATAGCTGTTAGTAACTAATAGCAATAGCAAATGGCAGTAAAACAGTAAATAAAGTTGGTACCAAAACCAAAGGAGCAACAGATGTATTTTATTAAACCGCAATGAAAGAGACTTTAGCCAGAGAATTATCTTCCTCCTCCCTTTAATTATATATTACCTTTGTAGAGTAGTACAGTCGCGCGTACTGCAATGAAAAATTAAACTTCTTTATCCAGGTGCATTGATACCGGAAGTCAAAGAGCCATTACATTTGTTATCCCAGTTTTAATTTCAATGAAACACCGCGAGACGATCTGTAACGCTAATCTATCGATTAATCCTAATGGATTCGTGCGTATCGCAAACAATATTTACGAAACACAGAAATCTCTCACTTCCAATAACGATTAACCGACAGTCCGCCTTACACGATATTAATTAACGTTAGGCTTCGACCGAGCGATCTGTTTCCTCGAATATTGATTTTCAGCCGAGGAAGAGCGCGAAATGGATGCACGGGAGAGCGCAGCACTGAAGGAACGGAACGAGACGTTGAAGGAAACCCTGGAGAATATTCACAGACAGATGTCGATGCTTGGTAAGTATAAAAAAAAA